CATACTGAAATTTGACGATCTCGATGATCGTTGACGCATAGTATCACTCAAAAACCAAATATTTGTACTTTGTCCTGGACAACAAACGCATGTACTGCAAATTCAAGTAATATTCCATCAATTTTTGGCGTCTACTGGAACAGTAGTCGCCATAATTATGCTGTCGGCGACAAGTTTAGGGACATGTATGTATGCAGTGCATGGACGGTTCACTTCTCCTGCGAACAGGCTCTTTGGTTAGGTTAAAGCCCGCGCATCTACGAAAGTTTCCGAACTGTTTACGATAAACTTATCATTTATAACTCAATGCCGTCCGGCCATGGGATTTCCGACGTTATTATATAAAGAACTCCGCGAGTATTTGTAGTAGAAATACGAAAATACCACCAAAAAATTCCGCTTGAAAGGTACTATATAAACTAGCCATATAAACTAGCCATACTCAAAACAAAGGTACTATATAAACTATAGTACCTTTGGTACCTAAGGTACTATATAAACTAGCCATACTCAAACAATGTAAACTAGTCATACCTATATACAAAACACTTTGAACAATGTAAACAAATATGTACGACGATGGGTCACTAAACCATACCTTTCGCCGAATATAACTTCGGTCCTTCTCAACCTATATTTTTCGTAATATTCTTGTTCGAATCACAATCCAAGACACTATTTAGAGTGTTAAGTTTGTATCTGTAGATTTGCACCTTTTATTTCGGTATTTCAGAATATGTAAATTTTACGCGAAAGCTTCGAGTGGAAATACAGCTTGACTATTGAAACAATCTAGCACTCGGGAAACGTCGGAAATCGATTCTAAAGGTTAAATTACCTTCATGTGGCGTGATTTGCACGTGCATCGGCCTAGGCACGCGCGTGTGAGTAACAACCCGATACTCTGAAAAATTTTGTAAAAAAAAAATTCTAGTCCGCCGTATTCAAACGAGACTTTCTGCATGAAAGCGCTTGAATACAATTAAGCTAAGGAATATTTCACTTCTATTGACATACAGTATTCTGAAGAGTTTTGAAGGTGTTCAACTTTTTCTCGTTATGAAATCCAGAATGTCTGCCCAAGCAGTGAGTATACATACAAAATATACAATTGTTTATTTGTTTTGGTTTGTGTAATGTTTTGACGGCATGTGTAATGTTTTGACCCCACGTTCGACATGTGTCAAAGGTTGTTTTATGAGATTTCAACGGTGGTTTTCGCTTTAAAGGGCGGATAAATACTTGCCGAGATATTTTAATCTTCCCCACTACAAAGTCGGAGATGTCAATATAAACCGAACGGCATTGACATTCTTTGTTTTTGATTCAGTAGACGCCATGTACGCTACAGCGTACCTATTTTAAGTTCCTGTTTGAGGTTATTTGCCATCAAAAACACACATTTGGAAAGAAACGTCATTTTCGGCCATGTTTCAGCGAAGAATTCTTGACTGCTAATTTTTCGATTGCGACAAGTAATTGTGATCTTGATTAACGTTTATTAACGTTTACGTCGGCTAGCTTTCTTTTATTTTCCCTCTGCTGCAGTACGAGAAACAGGGTAGCGCAATCTGTATCTTTGTTGTTTTCACAATTTTTGCAAAGAGGAAAGATTTTTGTTCAAATTTTCTATTTGTAATGTTCCAAAGACCTAATAATATACATGGAATTTGTTTCCAAATGTATGTCTATTGCATGTGTATTTACTCATTTGCGTGCGGATAGTTACTTGATTAGATATATAGTTTTATTATATAGATACTGATATTTACGCACGGTTTTATTAATTTGAAAAGCCCTTTCAAGATTAACGTCAACCAATCAGAAACGCGAAACGATTATTTCACACGTGCGAAAAACGTTTCGTCCAATCAGAACTAGCCCGTGTTTACGTACGAGCGAATCCGTTCACTGTCCGCAATGTTTTTGGCAGAATTTTATTTAGTTTGTTGCCTTTTTCTTGCTGTTTAAAGTCAATTTTTAATTTGAATTGGACAATTTAACTCGTATGTTTGCAAAAGATTTATGACACTACAAAAGACAAATATGAATCTATTTTTTGAAAGGGAATACGAAAGACACATTATCATGCTAGTTGCACAAATAAATATCATGCTATAGTTGCACGAAAACAACAGCGATGTAAGTTGCATTATATTTAGTTTTTGAAACGAATTATTAACATTTTTCTCTTATTTAAACGAAAAAATATTGTTTGTTATAATATTCTAGGCCTTGTTGACTATATATTAATGTCACATTTAGTTTGAGAGTAAAGCCCTTTACAAGTGATTTAAAGAAAATATACAATGCCAAATTTAATAAAGTTTTGTTTGCACTTTGCAGTGCTTTATCTTGACTTTGTTAGTAATGGGAAGTGCTTTTGTATTGTATTTTCGCACTTGTTAATTTGTTTTCGCAAAACTCACTCGCTTGTTGCACTCGCTCGTTCGTTTTGTGAAAACAAATTAACGCGTGCGAAAATACCATACGTCAGCACTTCCCATTAAGAAATCTCTTTTTATTATATGGCAAGCATTTGTTTTGATGAATCGTGCAATTTGATTGGCTGCTGACGAGGCATTTTCCCGTATTGCCCACGGGCATTACGCAATTTTTATTGCCCCACGACGAGAGCCGAGTTTCAAACGGCAAAAAGTGTCTAAAAGTCTTTCAAACTTTTCAAAACGAAGAAAAATAAACCTAAACTAAAGAAAAGGAGCACCTTCTGCGGTTAAAGAACTTTCTCAATATGTTTTTGTTATAGCGAAAGTCGAAAATACAATGTGAATTTTACAATGTTTATAACTATTAAAGCAGTCACGAATAGTTGTGTTCTGACTTTTGTGAGGAGCTGCAAATTTTGTTTGCAGATAGCCAGGAGGAATTTGACATCATCCTAAATAAAAAAATACAACTAAAGCAGCCACAGATTTATATTTTTCCCTGAGAATTTCTGTTTTTGTTAGATAAAAAGAGACATAAATATGAGATGAAGCGAACTAAAAACAAGTCCATACTAAAAACGTACTTGTTCACCCTGACCACTGTTTATTAACTTTATTGTTTTCATATCTGTTGTCTTTGATTAAATGACGAAATACCTCGTATTTTCATTGAATTACTATCCAAACTGTGTCAGTATTCCATATAAAAATTGCTGTAGTGAGTGTAGAGTAGTTTTACTAACCGAGAGAACATTTTTTACAATTGTTTTTTGGCAAATGTTTCGGACTTTGTACTTTGCCCTCGCGCGACCTTTTTCCCATCTTTAGTGTAAAGTTTCACTTTACACTGTTGTGATGGCTGGCGAATATTCACACGAATCAGTCATTCATTCAGTCAGTCAGTTAGTCAGTCATAGAGTAAACTTTCCGGGGGGTGCATACGATTTACGTTTGTAAGTGATTTATTGTACTTAATCAGTGTTTTGAAGGTTATTTAGGCAATTTCAGTTGTCTTATTTTAATATTCTTTTGTACTTTTGCCAAGTTCACAAATATTTCGAGAACTCGTTGTCGTTATTGTAATTTTTTTTAAATTTTAGAACATTCGCTTCTCATGTTGTGTAAAGGATCTTTCCCCTGGACACCCGATTTTTTCCTTAGCCGCTCAAATGCGCATGCGCTATCAAGCCGTAGATCAACGATGGCGTGACGATGCTACGAAGGAGCGACACAGTGTTGTAGTTTCAAATATAGAAATATTTCAGACATTTAATAGAGAATCTACGCAATATATAAATTGATGTTATGCATTATGGGGCCTGGGCATCAAGTACGTACCGGTATTATTTAGACGATATATTCATTATACACAGCTGGGAATTAAGGAGCTAGACAGTGTTTTCTTTCAAAATATATGTTTTTCAGGGAGGTCCTGTAATATATATCTATATTATACATGGTATTCGTAAACTATACGTCTATGCTTCTTTAAAAACTATAAAATATTTACAAGGGGATTATATATAATTATACTTCATAGTTAGGAAAAACTCAACTTAATTAGATAAATTGTTCAACTTAATTAGATAAATTGTTTTAGTTTGGATTTAAAGAGATTAAGATTAGTAGATTGTTTCAGTTCGATAGGTAAAGAGTTCCATTCCGATACCGAGTGATAAGTGAATTGCTGTTTTCCCAATTCGTACGTGGGCGTGGAAGGTAGTAGTTATTCTGGCGTGTTTTATGGCTATGTATACGGGAGATTATGATAAGGTTAAAATCAAAGTCGACTAGATGGTTAAGACATTTAAAGACGGAGATACAACGGTGGTATTTTCGACGTAGGTAAAGGGGTTTCCACTCTAGAGTTTCAAGGGCTTCGGTAGCGGAGGAATGGCGAGGAAGATCAAGGATAAGTCTCGCAGCGTTATGTTGCAGAACTTGAAGGTGGTTCATTAGAGTGGAGTTGTTTTTGTCTCCCCACACGATATCACTGTAGTCCAATAGAGGGAGGACAAGGCTGTTGTAGAGGGTGAGTCTAGCTTGAATAGGGAGTAATAATTTTATGCGGCGAATGAGACCAAGGCGTTGATTAAACTTCTTGCTGATGTTGTCGATATGTTCTGACCAGGTTAAGTTTTGATGAATTGTAACTCCTAAGTATTTGAAGGAGTCAATTCTATCAAGTATGGAATCGTTAACCGTGATGGAAACATTGTCAAATTTTGCAACTTTCCGAGAACTTTCGTAAATTACAAATTTACACTTGGAGACATTAAGTGTCAGGAGATTGTCGTTAAACCATCTGCATAAGTGTTTTAGATCGGAATTTAATTTCATTTCAAGACCGCAAGCAGTGTTTGAAGAAAAATATATCACAGTGTCGTCAGCGTATAAGGATATTTCACAATGGTTGATACAATAAGGCAAATCATTAACAAAAATAAGAAATAGTAGTGGACCCAAAACACTATCTTGAGGAACTCCGACAGGAACGTGTTTGAAGGAGGAAACAGTGTTAGCCAGGGCGGTAAGTTGATTTCTATTGCTTAGTTATGACTTGAACCAGTTGACAGAATCATTGGAGAGACCAGATGAGGCAAGCTTTTCAAGTAAAAGAGAATGGTCGACACTATCAAAGGCTTTAGCCAGGTCAAGAAAAACAGCTCCGGTTACTAAACCCTTGTCCATGTTAGCCAAAATGATGTCCGTGAAATGTGCGAGCGCAATCTCAGTGGAAAGTTTAGGTCTGAAACCAAACTGTCGTGGTGTTAGTATTTTATTGTCAATAAGGTAGCGGTAAACTTGAGAGTGAACTGCTTTCTCGAGAACTTTACTGATTGTTGGGAGTATCGTGATTGGTTTGTAATTGCTAGCATTGGATTGGTCTCCAGATTTAAAAAGCGCTGTTACTTTGCCAGACTTCCAGGTTGATGGAAATGTTGAGCAAGTGAGTGAACGAATGAAAAGTTTGGTTAGGATGGGAGTTACAACACTGGAAGAATCTTTAAGTAACCTAGCGCTGATTTTGTCGAGGCCTACAGCTTTGTTGGTTTTAAGATTGTTCAGAACACCATACACATAACTTTCTTCAATTGGCTGGAAAACAAATTCATTTTCTAACCTAGCGCTAATTTTGTCGAGTCCTACAGCTTTGTTGGTTTTAAGATTGTTCAGAACACCATACACATAACTTTCTTCAATTGGCTGGAAAACAAATTCATTTTCCCTAATAACTGACTAGGTTGCTTGATAGAAATCCGATTTGGATACAAATTTCTTATCTTAGATGCCAATTTGGATCCAATGCTTGAGAAATGGTCGTTTAATGACTCAGCTATAGACTTTGGGTCGGTATGAGAAACACCATTAACTTCAATACAAGATGGCGAGCAGTGAGGTTTTCGGGACGAGATGTCATTTAACGTTTTCCATAAAGCACTAGTGTTTCCTTTATTCGTATTGATCAGGTTCGAGTAGTATTCAGCTTTGCATTTTTAACATTTATATTGACGTAAGATTTAATCTTCTTGTACATCATCCAATGAAAGGGCGAATTTGACTTAACGGCTTTGCGATGGTGGTAGTCGCGATCTTGCATTGCGTTGCTTAAATCGGTAGTAAGCCATGGGGTTTGGATTCCTTTTGTTCTCAATTTCTTAATTGGAGCATGAAGATTGGCAACATTTGTGAACAGTTCATTCCATTTACTTACAGCGACATTAATGTCTTGTTCTTCGTCAGTAAGGTCGAAATTAACATGCACAAGATCGGCGAGGAAAGATGGCTTTGAATAAGTCTTGTAGGATCTGTATTCTATGACTCTTCCTGGTGCTCTACGTACACCCGCTACTGCAGCGAATTTTTGGACCTAGTTTTTTTAGCTTAAATAAAAATTCAGTCTTTTAGAAGCATTTTCATATATATTTGATCATCATGCGATGCTTAGAAGTTGCCAAATTTAACCTCTGAAGTTGGTTATCGCGTGCGAACTTTTCCGTCGCCATATTGATGCCGTGTGACGTCATAAGATGAACGGAAACGAAGATATGAAGGTCGTATTTGTAGTAAATTATATGGCGCGTCAACATATTGCAGTGGAATTTTTGTCTATTTCACTTGTTTATGGCGCAGGTAACTGATTTTTAAAAATCGAAGAACAAGTGCTATATCTTATTGTTTATTTGACGGCGGAATGACGGTTAGAGATTCAGATAATAGGGTCAGTACTGCATCTGGAAGTCAACGAGTATGGACTCGGCTAAGTCGGCTTTGAAATACGATGATGAACCAGTTGCCTAACAGCTTTTATACAGGTTCACTAGACGAAGTGATAGAGAAATTATATAACGCCGCTGCAGATAGGCAACTACCATCTGTGACTGTGTTGGAGCAATCAAGCGATGGTACAATACCTGTAAAATTAGTGGTAAGTAGATCCTTTTTATTGCATGTATATATATATTGTATTGTGCTCGCCTCGGTATTGTGTCTGAACACATCTGGTGTGTGTAACTTAATATTTATTATAAACTGGATTGTGCATGACTAAAAATATATTCATAGCCTAATAATTCGCAATACTTAAAATGATTTTGATTTTGTTTTCAATAGATAGTGATATGTGTAATTGGCAATTACGGGCTGTGGTTCTATTGATGGCTATAGTTTTACTTGGATGGGAAAACAGAAGAAAATAATTTCCAACAACAAAGACACAGCTGCCTTACGTTTGAGCAGAAAAGCGGTCGACTTTAGTTGGATTATATAGGCAGATTGTGACTGAGTCAGTTAACCATTGAGTCAAAATTGTGCCACTGTGCAATATCACATAAACACATACTGTAATATTTTGAAATTATATTAATCTTCAAAGTCACAAATATATTTTTCGCATATTAAATAGCGTACCAGTACAATATTATTGTATTACTATATTTATTGTTACTTTATACTATGCAATATGTATTATTGATATGACTGAATATAACTCCAATGGCATCGTTTCTCTTAAAATGTCATCAGAAGTCTTGACGAAACTAGGTCAAGGCATGCTGAATTGTTGTCTTTATTTCAATCTCAAGATGCTCTGGACAAGAAACTAACTTAACAGGAGATAGTCTTTTTACAACCACAAATGCTCTAAAACATAAGAAATGTTAAACACTTTAGACTAACTATATAGCATCATTTGCGCAAAATATTCACCACGTGTGCGAACATATTAATTTGTACTTCACTATATATACCTGAATTATTTACCTTGCGTCTGTTAGTTGTACTTTTGCCAGGGGAACAATTCTAGCCATGTAAATTGTATAAACAGTTTCTTCCTTCAGTATTCTTTCCATTTTACGAGGTTTTGTCAATGAAAATAAGATATAGCACGAATCTTCAAAACGGGGTCAATCTTTTAAAACACTAGGTTCGCAGATGCGTGAAAACCCGCGGTCAATCTTTACGGATAAAATTCACTGACTTTCTTTCACTCTGTGGATCTGTCTCTTTGTTGGGAAATGGATGCATGGGTATTCCTTCAGGCTGTTCAGAATTCGTGCAATAATCTAAGTTAGAACTGCCAGAAACACGGCCTTCGTCTCCGCGTTTGTTGGTTTTACTATAATTTTAATAGGCCATGATGAAATCGTGTTCATCTTATGACGTCACATGGCATCAACATGGCCGATCAAAAGTTCGCACAGGAAGTGCCAAAAATGGCCACTTTGGAAGGCTATAAAATCGGTTTGAATTGACCAATTTCAATTCTGTTTGTGGTAAACAGGTCAGGAAGGAAAGCACTTTTAATTAAGCTAAGAAAATGAGGGTCGAAAAATTCGCTGCAGTAGCACTTTAACAACACAGTAGATAAGAGAATGGTCACTTAAGTTTACGTGTAGGACTTCGGAGGAAACTATTCGATGATTATTGTTAGCGAATAGGAAATCAATCAATGTACTTGAGTTCTCAGTTATTCTCGTTGGTTTATCAATAAGTTGTTCAAGATTGTACATGCTGGTAAAGCTTAGAACTTTTCGCTTAAGAGCTCGGGAAGTATCATTTTTTGTAGCTAAAAAGTTCACATTAAAGTCACCAAGTAGTATTACTTCAGCTTCTAACGAAATAGAGGACAATGCAGTATCAAGTTCTTCAGTAAGTGACTCTAACAATTGATCGGGGGCTTTATAGACTGTGAATATAAAAAGGCTTTTGCATTTTGGACGAGTAATTTCAATAACAGTGGATTCGATATTGCTACTCAGAAGGTCTGTCCGTATTTTGTAAGGGATGCCATCTCTCACAAATGCCAACGTTCCACCACCAGATCTTCCATTCCGATCATTTCTGGAAAACGTATAGCCAGGAATAGAGATTTCACCATCAGTTATATCAGAGTTTAGCCAGGTTTCAGAGATCGTAAAAATATCAAAAGGTTTTTCATTAAGTAGAAGCTTTAATGAATCTATTTTATTGTAGATACTTCTGATATTGAGGTGTGCAACTTTAAGACCCCGAGATTGAAGAAAACCACTTGCTTGATGACTATTAGTAATCGACGCAGGTCCAGGGTTAGATTCTACATCACCAGATATAGAAATAACTAGAACTGCGAGAATTGCGTATAGCAGTAAACGGCACCCAAAGAAAACCTTTGATGAATTCGGCAATGATCTTGGTATTTCCCTTTTTCGTCGACAACCGTATTTAACTAGACTCATGATATGGGTTGTTGTGATTTCCTTGCATATGTAGAAAATAGCATGTTGTTGTACAAAGTTAGAACAATTCTTTGGGACATAACAATTCTTTGGGACATAAAGACCACATAAGGTAATATAGATATAGAGAAATAACCAGAGATAAAGGTTTCTACAGCAAAACTTCATCAAATCTATCAGCATCATGAAGGAGAAAGTACGATTTAAATGTTCTGTTGATTAGATTATTTAGCAGACTGCGGTCGATAAGTATGAAGTTTTTTAGCGGACAAAATATCTGAAATGTATCAATCGAGTTTATGCGCTATAAATTGATGTTATGTGCTATACATTGATGTTATGTGCAAATACATCGATGTCATAAACCGATACAACTAAAAGATTAGCGGACAAAATATCTGAAATGTATCAATCGAGTTTATGCGCTATAAATTGATGTTATGTGCTATACATTGATGTTATGTGCAAATACATCGATGTCATTTAAACCGATACAACTAAAAGATGAACCGATACAACTAAAAGATGAACCGATACAACTAAAAGATGAACCGATACAAATAAAAGATGAACCGATACAAATAAAAGATAAACCGATACAACTAAAAGATAAACCGGTACAAATAAAAGATGAAACGGAAGTAAATACATCGATGTCATAAACCGATACAACTAAAAGATGAACCGATACAACTAAAAGATGAACCGATACAAATAAAAGATAAACCGATACAACTAAAAGATAAACCGACTACAAATAAAAGATGAGGAAACGGAAGTAAATACCAATAAAAGATGAGGAAACGGAAGTAAATACCAATAAAAGATGAGGAAACGGAAGTAAATACCAATAAAAGATGAGGACCAATAAAAGATGAGGAAACGGAAGTAAATACCAATAAAAGATGAGGAAGCGGAAGTAAAGGAAAAACAGAAGTTGAGCGACGCGGCGACATACAACAATGGCGTCTCTTGGACCACACATTTGGCTTCCTAATACAGAAAACGTTTTTCGTGAATTGGTTGATTTAATAAGAAATGCTGAACAAAGTGTCGCACTCGTTGTGACTCGCCAGACTTTTATTGTCGTAGATTAGAAGACTCAATGATTGAGTGTTTTAACAGAACTCAATGATTGAGTGTTTTAACAGAACTCAATGATTGAGACTCAATGATTGAGTGTTTTAACAACAAGAATCACCGAATCATACACAATGGAGCAGTTTTTAATCAACAATCTACATATACTATGTACTTATTTAAATAGTTTACGAAATGAATTCGACGTTATTGTTGAAAATTATGAACGGACGTCAGAGCGCTTTTCACTAGAAGAATCTTACGATCGTGCGGTTTGTACGGTGGAAAGAAACGGCCTCGTTGGTAGGCCAAGAATACAAGTCACAGAAGAGCAGTTCATAACCACATTGCTTTTTAGTGTGAAGTTTCACTTCACACTGTTGTGATCGCTGGCGAATTCACACGAATCAGTCAGTCAGGAGGCCAAGAATACAAGTCACAGAAGAGCAGTTCATAACCACATTGCTTTTTAGTGTGAAGTTTCACTTCACACTGTTGTGATCGCTGGCGAATTCACAAGAATCAGTCAGTCAGGCGAATCAGTCAGTCAGGCAATCAGTCAGTCAGGCAATCAGTCAGTCAGGCAATCAGTCCGTCAGGCAATCAGTCAGTCATAACAGTAAACTTTCCGGGGGGTGTATACGATTTATGTTCGCAGTGATTTATTGTACTTAGTCAGTGCTTTGAAGGTTATTTAAGCAATTTTATTTATTTTCTTTAAATATTCTTTTGTCCTTTTGCCAAGTTCACAAAAATTTCGAGGAATCATTGTCGTTATTGTAAATTTTTGTAATTTCAGAACATTCGCTTCTCATGTTGTGTAATTAAGGATCTTTCCCCCCGGAACACCCATTTTTTTCTATAGCAGGGCAAATGCGCATGCGCTATCTGTGCTATGAAGCCGTAGATCACGATGCCAGGAAGGAGGAGCGACAGTTTGCGACAGTGTTGTTTTCAAATGTATAAATTTAAACATTTCAGACGTGAATATTGAGTAAATCTTTGAGAATCTACGCAATATATAAATTTATGTTATGCATGACGGTCTTTCAATCAAGTACTGATATATGTGGACGGTATATTCATTAATATACAGAGCTAGGAAGGAGCGACAGTGTTGTTTTCAAATGTATAAACATTTCAGACGTAAATATTGACAAAATCTTTGAGATTCTAGGCATTCAATTGAGTGCCGATATTATTTTCACGGCATACTCGTTATTGTATAAATGATTTCAGACCTAAATATTGAGAAAATCTTCGAGATTCTAGGCATTCAAATGAGTGCCGATATTATTTTCACGGCATACTCGTTATAGTGTTCAGAGGTACAGTATACGTAGACACAAGCGAGACAGTGTTGTTTTCAAGTATATGAACATTTCAGACATGAATATTGAGAAAATCTTTGTCCTTTGAGATTCTACGCAATAATACTATTATGTTGTGCATACCGGTATTCAATTAAGTCCCCATCGATATTATTTAGAACGTGTATTCATTATACATTGTCATTGACTGTATAAGGTGCTACATCACAGAATAGATGGCTACGCTCAATACAAAGAGCGAAACAACTATTAAACAGAAGCGGGTAAATGTTTGTACGGCGTTTACGAAGAAAATAACTTGCGAGACTAAAGAAATCAGTTGAGTCAGAGCTCCTTATTTAAATAAGAAAGACGAGGAGATAGCCAATGCGTTATCGCCAACGTGTTGTCGCCAATCGCTTGGCTCGCCAACAAGCTTTATGCAATAGAAAAAAAAGCAAGGAGGTACATGTAGCCAACGTGTACCGTCACGGGCTTTGTCTTTGTTTACTGTCTAGCACAACGCCGTTGTCAACGATGTAAACTCTTGTCCAGTGCAACGATAACTCTACCAGATCTTACGAGAATCAATATGTAGTATTCTGTACACAGAACTGTTCAATGCTTGTCAAAACTGCTTTAAACACTGCTTAATTGTAAAACTATTGAAATCTAAAGTGACATTATTCAACACATGCGAAAAGCTGAAAATAGACGTGACACTGGGAAAAGTCAAAGACAAAGGTCAATGAAACTTGTTATTGTGAAGCATGTCACAATTAGGTTAAAATGCGGAAGCGGATGGAGC